ATTCAATTAATTGAAAACAGGTGATTAGCTTTAAGAAGCCAATTGGGAGTGTCACAATTTCAGGTCACAAGTTCTTAGGATGTCCAATTCCTTGTGGAGTTCAAATAACAAGAAAAAGTCACATCGCTTATCTCTCAAGAAATGTGGAATACATTGCTTCTATGGATGCCACAATTTCTGGAAGTCGAAATGGTTTAACTCCAATTTTGTTGTGGTATAGTTTAAGCTCAAAAAATCAAATTGGGATACAACAAGATGTTAAGAGATGCCTCTACAATGCTAGATATTTGAAAGATCGTCTTCAACAAGCAAATATCAGTGTCATGCTTAATGAGTTGAGCACTATAGTTGTACTTGAGAGGCCTCTTGATCATGAATTTACTCGTCATTGGCAACTCTCTTGCGTGAGGGATATTGCACATGTTATTGTTATGCCAAGTATCACAAGAGAAACATTAGACGATTTCTTCATTGATTTGGTGCAAAAAAGAAAAATGTGGTACCAAGATGGAAGCGTTAAGCCTCCTTGTGTTGCAGATGATATTGGTGCTCAAAATTGTGCATGCGCTCTTCATAATGGTCAGTATATATTCCTTTAAGGAAACGAACACCCTATCATGATCTAGACGATGAAATCTCAACATGAATTTGCTACAATTGGATGGAATTGTAGGTTCTTTTCATGTTCTTGTTGTATCTTTTTTTTTTTTTTTTTTGTCTATGCTGGTTACATTGTGATTTGAAACTAGTTAAGTTGGTTGTATGACGTCCATATGTAGATTGTCTAATCAATCAATAAATAAATTACGGACTTCATGTTAAGTTGTGTTGCTTTTAGGTAATACTCCCTCCGTTGGTCTAGTTTAACTTGACATGAAACTTAAGAAAATAAAGAAGACAACAACTATGGAAATGCATCACTGTCTATGGAGGATTATGAAAGCAAACACAAAAACTATGGTGATATTGTTGCCTTCAATCAGAACCTTAGTAATGAGCAATATTACAATCAATTGGTTCACATGATCAAACAAATGTGGATGGAAGAGGCAACAAACACAAGTGGAGGACTTATAATTAATGTAAATCAATGACTGGTACAATCTTAAAACATATTTGCTCATGTTTTTCTGTTTTACATCTTACTACTTAAACAATAGATTCAGGTGCATCCTAACATGTGTCACAATTCAAGCTCTTTCACTTCAAATGGAGGACATATTTTTTTTTTCTATTTTAAATCCTACTACTTAAATAATAAATTTTTATATATATAAAAAGTGTTAAATTTAACTGTAGACCTCACACAGCTAACAAAATTCATCATTATTGTCTTGTTTGTAACTCTAAAGGCAAACTCCAGGAAATCCAACATCATTCTCTCTACTTTCTCTATCAAAATTTACTATTTTCTCTTACTTAAACCAGAAATGGGTATTAGGTCAATGCAATAATAATTTAGGAAAGAGATTATAGTAAAATTTGTTAGAGAAAGTAGAGAAAATGGTGTTAGGTTTTATGGAGTTCTTTCTTTGGAGCTAACAAAGAAGACAACAATGGTGAATTTTGTTAGTCACGTAGGGTCAATAGTTACATTTAAGTTATCTTTTATAAACATGTTAGGTTTAGGGTAAAACACCAAAATGAACACCTTTTGGTATACATTAAGGACCATTACAAACAAGTGAAATATATTAAAGATTGAAATGAACACCTTTGTTATACAATAAGGATCATTTCAATCAACTAAAATATATTAAGGACCAAAATAAAGCATTACACATACATTAAGGATCATTTTGGTTATTTTCTCTTCTCTTAAATATCACTATTATCATAACAAAATGTAAACTTGGATTGTTGAAACTGAACAAATGTAGTTTTCAAGGGCAGTAGCGGGGATACCTATATATTAGGATGTGGTTCAATCGATTCCCTTCGTTGAAAAGTGATAATATTGTGATGTCCAAGCTTAAGATAAGAAGTCACACATCGACAAACCATAGGAGAGATATTGGGTATATTTATAAGTAGGTCTTACAAATTAGTGACGCGTTTTAAAGTCGTGCAGGCCTAGGCCTAAAACGCGCAATATCACTAGCCGGCAAGTCAATTACAAAAGGTATCAAAGTCACTCATGTGTCATCCTTATCAATGTGAACCAGACTGCAACTGAGTTGAGCCAAATCCCGATAAGGTAGGGCAAACCTCAGTACTGAGTCTAGGCAAATCCCATGAGGTGGGGAAAATCTTAGCGATGACGTTGAGTCCATAGAGGAGGTGTATATGATACCCCGTCTTTAGATTAGAAGTCTCACATAGACAAAACACAGGATATATGTTGGGTATATAAGTAAGGAGGTCTTACCAACTAGTGATGCGTTTTAAAGTCGTGCGAGCCTAGGTCCAAAGCGGACAATATCACTAGCGAGCTAGGCCTTTACAAATGGTACCAGAATCACTCATGTGTCATCCTTAACTATGTGGGCCATATTTCAACTGAGTTTAGGCAAATCTCAGTAGGGCAAACCAAACCTCAGTGTTGAGTCTAGGTAACTCTCATTCGGCTGGGCAAACCTCATGTCACGACCCGAGTCTACACCCCGGACGTGGCCGAAACTCAAGAACCACTGTTGGTTCCCAAGCGAACCCTCATCCTAGCTGACTACAAGCGGAACACTAACTTAAGCATACAAAAGCTTAAAACTGAAATAAAAGTTCATAAAACTTAAATACAAACTTTAAGTCCAAAGAAAACTCTATATAACAAAATATATATACAACTCGCCATAAAAAGGCAACTTTAGTCTTTAAAACATTTAATAACAATAAATGAATAATATTGAATGATACAGATTTCTCAACTATACTGACTATCTATGAAACCTAGAACTGATAAAGATGGAACTAGGGACAAGACCCACGACATCCTAACAGCTGATATAACTGAAAGGTAAATAAAATCCTCTGGAAGTAAGGAAGCTCACCATAGCTAACTAAAACTCTCAAATGTATCAACGAATCTCATGTTGATGATCTTGAATACCTGTGTCTGCATCATGAAAAGATACAGACTAAATGGCTCAGTACGTGGAATGTACGAGCATGTAAGAGGAATTCTAAAGCATAAATATAAGTTTGATAAAAAGGAAACATACTTACCTCTTCTCAAACTTACTCAACTCAAGGAATACTCAAGGATACTCAAAACTACTCAAACTTACTGAACTTGGAAGTATTCAAGGATATATAAGTTACTCAACTCAGAGATTAGATACTCAACTCAAGGATATGATATTCGACTCAAAGATATGATATTCGACTCTGGATACTCAACTTTGAATACTCAACTCAATATGACTGAACTAATTTCAATATAAAGCAATTTAAAACAAGTGCAATATAAATAAACAAACTGTTTAAAAACATGCTGTCAACTAAGAGCTATTGTGATGATACAACGATCTTCCTCACGCTGTCAGCGCATCCTATACCTTGTTACAGGTATAGGACCTGAACTACTAAGTGGATTGAGTTTCTCTAACCGACAACCATCACTTAAGAGATATAGTGATGATACAACACTTTACCTCACGCTGCCAAGGACCATGCTAAACCTTGCCATCAGTATAGGACCTTCACTTAACTTAGTGGATCCACTAGCTTAACTTATGTGCTAAATCTAAAAAGTATGACCTGTTAAATCCCATGTTGGCCACATGGTTCTTATGGAGATTTGAGTTAATATGAATTCGCGTCCCCAATTCGATGCTCAATACTACTCTGTCACGACCCTTTTCTCTCTTGCTTTATTGTGAAAGCATTTACTCTTTAACTGAAAACTAGCCCAAAGTCTCTTTACTGAAACACTAGCTCCAAGGCTTTTTTGAAAATCTCAGTTTTCCGTTCTTATTTAAATGTGAAAACATTTATAAACTCTTTGGGAATACTTAGTCCCCATATACCGGAAGACTTTCTAGACTTTATACATGATGTCTCATGGTTATCTAATACTTTAGAGTACAAATTCGGGACTAATCCCATACACAACTTAAACAATACTTAAAAAGACATAAAATAACATATGGGGTATTGTCCTCGAATATATGAGGACTCACCAAGTCTTCATCTTCAACACTTAGAAA